GGACAGCTTAGAATTTAAAGCAGATGTATCACAGGAGCATTTTCCACTGATTTTCTCCCAAATACTTGTGCTCTGAGCAACTGTTCCTCCTGTCTTCCTCTTAGCTGCCTTGTTGCAACATTTGCAGTTTTACAGACAGGTCCTTATTTAGCCAACCAGCTAACAGAAACACAGCTTTCCATTGAAGGCTAATTTAAAATCTCTCAAGCACATGTCCTCAGCTGTTGCAAAATTATGCCACTAAGTGCAATAGGCTCTGTCATTTTACATCAGCTGAGAATCTACTTGCGAGGGCAAAATAAGTGGATGCAGCTGCAGTTCTCTTCCTTGGGAGTTGCCCCTCATACACAACTGACTGCAGGTGGCTGAGAGATGGTATTTAAAAAGGACAAGCTTTAATTTTGGGGGTTTGGAATTTTTTATTTTTATTTGTTTGTTTTGTTGTTTGTTTTTTTTTAATTGATATATCTGGTGGAGTTCATTCATGCGCTCTCTCTGATAGCTGCCTAGGGCCTTTAACCCATCATACTTTAACACAGAGGAACTGACACGGGATGGAACTATCTTAGAAAACAGATCATGAGATCACAAGTGAAACGTTAACTCTCATGCCGTATTGTGTGGCAGAAAGATAAAATTGAAAATGTGACCCCTTTTTTCTTCAAATAATACAGTGCCATTCAATCGACTTAATTATCCCTAAAGACACATCTAATAATTGTTGGCCTGTCAATCGAAACTCTTATTAGACATGCACATGACGTCACATCACAGTCTAACAAATCGTCCTGCCAGTCAAAAGGCTTTATATAGATAATCTGATTTCGAAGGCAAGTTTCTGTTTGACCTTTCACCCAGCTTCTTGAGGGCTGAAATTGGAAAGGAGCTGAGTGTGTGCTACTGAGGTGCAAGAATGGGCTCTGGGCTGTCCTTTAGGGTTTCCCCCCAGCCATGTTCTGCTTTATGCTGCAGAACGGAGCCTGGAAAGGGGGCTCTGCCTTGGATGGCTACGTAACCTGGGGTGGGTTTGCATAGCTACAGCAGAGCTCTTCATGCCCTTCTTCTGGCCTGTCTGTACCACAGTGTTAATTCTCTGGCTGCTTGGGGTATCACAAAGCCATGCTTCACTGAGATACCTGCGCCAGGTTTTGAGATGATACAGTCCATCCCCTGCACACTGTGCGTACCCACAGTGCTGCTGTGGCCATGCAGCCATAACAGTGATTGCTGTGCTGGGGAAATCCCAGAGCCTTTGTCCCAGGAGGAAATATCTGCCTTGCTAAGTGAAAAGTGTGAGTGCCTGAGCAGAGCAGGCACTGTACTGACTGCCCAGGGAGTTTGCCAGCCTGTGTGTCAGGGTGCCAAGGGGGAGAAGCGAATGCACTAATAATTACTGCGATTTAAAAGGCAGCTCCATTCAGAATTCTCAGAACAAACAGACAGGCACGTCAAACTGTTGTACTGCACACTGTTCAGGGTGCCATTGTGCCACCCTGAGCAGCTCTGGGCTGTCACACATACCGTATACGCTGCTCTGTGCCTGCCCAGCCTGTGACAGGCTTTGGAGATGCTGGATTCCCTGTGCTAGCAAGTGCAGGTTAACGCAGATACTGCATGTATTCAAGGCATCCCTGCAAGTGCAGCACCAGATTCATAGATGCAAATATAAAATTGTCACTGTCAGTAGCTTTCAATTCTTTCTCAAATGGCATTTGATAGAAAGTAATTCATGATATATCTGGTTGCTGGAAAGGTCACCTGTTCTGTTGGGGTCTCTTACTGTCACTTCTCTCCACATTCCCACAAGTCCAGGCAACTCTGTTTCTCATCTTTACAAGGAGGAACCGATGTTGTAAGATGATGATTACCCCATCGCGCTTGACACCCTCTACAATGTTTAGAGTGAAAAAGGCTGTGCTTTCCTAGTGGACCTGGCAGGTGAGTCAGAGCATGGAGAGACTTCTCCATTGCAAAGCACTTGTCAAGACAGTGGTGTCATACAAGGATTTTGATATCTGCAGCTGGACATCAGATCTGAAGAGGTTATAAATTTATTTACTGATAGTGCATCGAGCTTCTTGTACTCGGCTGTACTGCACTTCAAGTCTCTTTTGAACAAAAGCAAATGGCAGAGGCTGATGCTTTCAAGATAATATCATTTGTCTCTGAAAATCTGCTTTTTAGATGTCAGGCAAAATAATTTCACAATAGCTAGTAAAGATCTTGTCTGGCATTGCTGTATTTTTACTGGTCTCGAACGTAACTTGAAAATATTACGACCTTATTGTAGTGTTCAATTTCCTATCGATTTTTCAGACAGTCTGATAGCACAAATGATAAAAATGCATGTAATTAGACATCATTGCTAAAGCTGAGAGACTATGGAGAAAGCCACACAGCAAGCTTCCTCTGCACGTGAACATCAAAGTGCTTTCTAGATTCATGAACTACAGGCAAACTCAATGTCAGCAGGAAAAGTTTCAGTAAACAATGAGAAAAAAAAGCACTGCCTTCATGTTTGAAGGAGACATTTTCCCTTCTGAAAGAAGCTAAAATCAAAATGTCACATCTGCAGGACAAAGTTGCTGTACTGAGGTTGGCCCTGCAAGCATCATCTTGCATAGCCAGTATAAATGGCTTCAATGCAGCTCTCCTTCCTGAAGATTACTCACAGAAAAGGGGATTGCTCACACGTTCTTTTGGTTCAGAGGCAATTCAAAAGATCTAGGTGATTTTCAGCTATCTTTCTTGGAAGTGGAGTCTACTAATGCAACACTAGTTGACTCCTGTGGGAGAGAAACAGCAGAGGAATGACCAGCTGGTTCAGTGGACCAGCCTATGATTATCCCAACATTAGGACGGAAAAACCTTTACCCTATTCTGCTTTGTCTTCAGTCGTCAGTGAAAACGGTTTCTTCTTTAAAGCTGATAGAGTTTAACAGTTGTCCTTGCAGTTAAAACAGCAACAGAAAAAACCTAACCAAACAAAAGCAGTGACTGAGGTTTTATAAAACTTTTGTTGGAATAAATATCATTTGAGTCATTCTCCTCTGATTCACCTATAGCTCATGTGCAAGCAATCCCCTTCCACAGAGGAATTAGACTGCACTCAATCCCTAGTAAATTCAGCTGATGAGATGCCTCCACTGACCCTCCATCATGGCAGCATCTCTCCCTGTCTGACCCCAGGGCATGTTGATGTTGACAGCTGTAATTCAGCATAATTCTGCTTGGTACACAGGCTGCCATGTGTCCAGGGGCTCATCAGGGATGAGCAGAGAGTTTATGAACTTTCTGGAGCTTGCTTCCAAGATATCTCCTGCTCAAACGTCATAAAGAAGTCACTGGTCCTTACTGGAACAATCTTACTCCTTTTAGCTTGGGGTTCAAGCTTTAAGCTGCTCTTCTCTACCTTGCTCTTGGAGGAAGGGGAAAAGCTGGGAGACTAGAAACATTCTGCAGCACCTATAGTGAACCATAAAAGCAATCTTCATTTTTTCTGGCTGATCACTCCTGAAATCCTGGTACAACTGTTGAGGTGCATAACATTGAAGGGGGGCAAAAAGTCGTGTAATTGCTGTTAGTTTTACTTTAATATTTTTTGCTGTGTTCCTTTAGAAGGTCTTCGTGAATTCTATATAACTTCTGTCATGGAAGAGTTAAAGAGGCAGCACATTGTGGCTCTGCACCCACTGCTGTGTCTCCTTTAGTCTGGGATAACACAAGTTTGTGGTGGCTTCACTCTTAGGATGATGTCTGCCCCTTGTAATATTTGTTAGATCTTATAGAATCCCCTTCTTATAATAAATTACATCTTCTTAGTGATACGTAATTTTATACAAATATTAGAGTCTTTACTGAATGATGTCCATGGATATGGGGAGGAGAGGCAAGTGAAATGCATTCTTCAGCTGTTGCCTAGCAGGACAGGTCTTCATTGAGAGACGTTTCTTTTTATTAACCTCTTACACAAACAGCAAATCTTTATTTAATTCAGACACCTTTAATTATAGTTCGATGTTACCATAAAACAACAAGAAACAAAGAGAAATCTCCATGCAAGAAAGAAGGCATGACATCCTGTCGCTGAGGATTTGCAGCGGTTTGGAAGTATGCTTAATTCAAACAAGAGTGCAGAAGTACTTCTGATTCAACCCAAGAGCAGGTTAACACTGAAAGGGATTTTTTCTGCTCTCTCCAACCCTGGCCATTAGGTCCAATTGCCCCTTTTGTGCTGCTTCTATGCAATGTGTTGGATCACTGTAAGATGAAATCATTGTTCCATAAGATGACTCACATTACAAAGATGTACCCTGAGACCCTATCATTAAATCCCCCAGAAGTGGTCCTCTAAAAGTCCTCCTCTTAAGGGTGCCAGAATTGTGAAAGCAGAAGGCATTTGCATTTCCCTTGAAGACCCAGTCTCTCCATCAGCCCTCAGAGCAGTTTGCTGACTAAACGTTCTATGCATTTGAATAATTTAACATATGAATAAATTCATTTATGCTGAATGAAGAGGTGGACTACTGGGACGAAGTAATGCCAAAACAACAAAATCGAAGCAGGGGAGGTAGAGGAAATGAACGCATAACAATGACAAGTGGTACGGTCTGCCCAGGCACCAGGAGACAGCTGTGACCACATCTGAAATAGGAGAGTGTGGGGAGGTATGGAGCAGCACCTAAAAAGGGCTTTAGAATAAGCAGAGCTGAGCAAAATCCAAGCTGGATTTTCTGAGCTGAAAGAAATGTGATTGTTATAGAATGACTGAAAACTTAATTGCAAGTTTTATGTCTCATTCCAAATTTTCCAGTTCAGAAAGTACGTAAGTAACATTCCCATGCCTTTTACTTTCCACTGGCAGTTAAGAAATAGAAGTCTCAGCTTCTGCCAAATGATCTGTCATACCAAGTCCTTGACCTTGGCAGCTCATAGATGCACGTTACAGATGCATGCAGCACAAAACCTGAAAATATTAAAAGCCAGATCTCAAATAGTGTAAACTGGCATTGGTCCAACTTACACCAGCTGCTGATCTGCTCTGTAAATGTCTTAGAGCAGTAGCAGTTGGAGGGATGATGGTTTGCATTCACTAAATGCTGATGAGGGCTACCTAACTAGTCATGCTTTGCTCACATTTGTGTATTAAGCATTTTAAAAATCCCTCTTTCTTCAGCTGTTCTTCAAAGAAATCATTGCATGCCACAGTCAAAGCAGCAACCAGAATGACAAATTCGTGAAAATCCACTTCATTGTCTTTGTTGGAGTCCAGATCTTTCATAATGTTATCAAACAGATGCGGGTCTTTTTGTCCCTAAAGAGAAAGAAAAGTGACTTAGCTGCACAGATCTTGAGTGAGGAGGGCAGACACACCCGGCAGTGCAACCCACTGCTATGTTACAAGCCCCGGGGCTATTAAATAAAAGGCTGCACGCAGTATGCACCTGAATATTAACATGCCACTAGCCACAGCATTAAAAACATAGGTCTGGAGCCCCAGAAGTGCACAGCAATAGAAATCAAAGACAGCACAGCTTTTAGAAGAAATACAGGTACTATATAAGCACTTAAATGAATCAAATGGATTTCATGAGCTGCTAAGCATTGCTTTCTTTTGACAAGATGGATCTATAATGTGCATTTCTCTGTATCATTCGTTAACAAACAGTACTTAGATTTTCAATCCAACCATAAGTGGTAGTATTATACATCCATTCATCACATTCAGAAGATCTCTACTGAGGAAAAACCACATCCTATTTAGTGTGAGTAAGAACAGTGAATGTTGTAATAATCAATAGCCAAGGTTAAAAGAAAATCCAATCCAAGGAAATGGACATTAAGTAAAAAATCCTGCTGATGATTATAATGTCCACAACAATTTTTACAGTTAAGAGGATACCGAAAGCCAACTATGAGTCTGGTCATTGTTCCATTAAAAGCACCCATGCTCTGTAATGCAGAACATAACAAACATGCGAAGAGATATTCAGATCAACGGCTTACTGCTGAAAGGGCTTTCTTATCATCTCTGTGTAGGGCACACAAGGAGCTGTACTGTGTCTTCAGCTACTGTGCACAAGCTGCTTTCTTGTCTCATAAGAACTGGTTGCTGGATTTAATTCTTTGAAGGACTTACCTGTATCTCATTATTAAAAATTAACAAATTAACAAAAAATTGATTAAAGCCTGTTTTAGCATAAATTTTGTTATTATTTCTAGGCATCCTTTGTCCTCCTGCTATGAAGCACAGAGGAAGGAGTAAGTTGAGCAAGGTAAGTAAGGTACCTGTGTCTGTTGCTGGTGGTGCAAGGCAGAGCACCGGGGCTGGACAACCCTCTGAAAACACACTTCTCTCTGGGGACCTTGATCTCATCTCCTTCTGTCTGTCAGGATGTGCCTTTCAGAAGGAGATCCTGTTCCTGAACACTCGGGTAGCTGCTTCTCCCACCCATGAAACTAAATCAAGATGTTCAGGAGCTGCAGCTTACTGAAAGGAAGTCAGTGAGCTCGCTGGTGAGGAGCTCCTTGAGCTCTCCTTCACTGAGCTTGTATCTGTCTCCTTCTTTGCCAGAGTAGTGATGGAAAATCCTGATCAAGGTGTCCACCGCATCCTCCAGAGGTGTGGACATAACAATGAGAGGGAGATCTGTAGGGTAAAGACCCAGAGTCAGTGACATTGTGAAGGAGCCAGACCAAAGGCTGGTCTCAGGGAAGGGCTGGAGAGCTAGCTGAAGAAAGAAATTGTTGCCAGAACTGAAAAAAAGAGTTTTCAGTGATCCATTCTCACAGCTGTGTGTGAGCAAGGCTAGACTGTTAAAAATAAAGCATTGTCGTGAACTCACTAGCGATTGCTTCAAAAAGGTAAATGGAAAGGAAGGTCTTTATAAGACAGTGATCTACTGTGCATCATTTCAAAAGCTACTGTAAAATGAAATGTCTCATACCCACAGCTGAAAACACAGGAAAAATGAAGGCACAACCTCCTACCTGTTCATTCAAAAGTTTTCTCAATAAAATAAGATCAAGAAATAACAGCAGCCAAAGTGGATGAGTTATACAGAATGCTCCACACCAGTTTCTTAAATGGTTAGAGGAAAATCACCAATAATAAGTATAGATGCATCAGCTTTTGATTTATGCAGTTGTGTTTGCTTGGGCTGACGTTTTTTCTTGTCAATCGCCTGAAATAAACAGGGCTAGGCATTGCTGAGGGTTTACTTCATAGAGCATGCAGTAAGAAGGTACGCAGGGAAGCACCACCAAGAAAAAAGGTGGAAATACAATTAGCTGCTGACTAGCTGACTCAAAAATTAACTTAAAATAGAAATCAGGTGAAAGGGAAACATTATGTTGATTAAGCCTCAGGAGAGAGATTAAAAAGCCAGAATGAAATTCAAGGTAAGACTGGAGTTGTGAATGATATCACCGTGCAAAGGCTAAGGCTTACCTGCTTATGGGGTGGCTGAGGTGTTTACCAGAAAATGCTCAGATCACAGAAGATGATGGTTACCCTCCTTTCAAAACTTGTGCACAGACTCTTGTTTATCAGGCTGAGAAGGTGGATTACATATATACAGACAGACATATAATTGTCACAAGGATGACGGGGCTTCTGTTTCCTTCTGCATTTGCCTACTCTGCTCAATAAAAGCCGCTTGCTGTAAATGGGTCACTAAAATATTCACTAGGCAGAGCAGAGGGCTGTGTGTGGAACATAGGAGATGTTTCTTATCATTTGAGCTTTCACAGATATGCTCATCTGGGGGCCTGAAGGTCAAAATTAGAAAAATCCAACGATCACCATGTTAGTATAAACCAACTTTCAACACAACTCTTTCTAATCTGTCTCCCATCACTTATATGGCCAAGAGCCTATGTGGGTAGTGGCAACCAGTCAGTGTTCACAAAAATACTTGGGTACTAGGGGTACGTTTGCAGGTGAGCTTGCCACAAATCCCTGGAGACATCTGCCTTTATTGTCAGATGTCTCTGTAAGCCTAAAACGTTGGCTTTGCTGAATGAAATTCTTGCTCTGGTACACATATCCTCAGGAGGAAATGAGGAAACCAGTTTCAGAGGAAGCTGTGACTGAAATTACAGTGTGCACTTATCAACAGGCTTGGCTTCGTTTTTATTAGTGCCACATAACAACTGCAGTTCAGCATCTCTCTTTTAATAAGTGATCTTTCCCCAGAAGGGCTTCCTCTGCTCTGAAACCCAGAGACTTGTTGACCCTGGGGGCAATGGCTGAGGGATGTAAGAAAGATGCATGGTAGAGCCGACTTACCACCCAAAATTCCAAATAACCACATAACCACAGTGTTTTCTTTCCCTCAATAAAGCCTTCTGTCTGCTGTACACAGCAAGCACAACTGTGCAGAAAAACAGCAAGAGGTTACAGAGCTGCAGGTCATTCTTTCTTTTATGCCAGACAGGGGGAAAGAGAATGAGATGGGCACTGTTTTTAGCTCTGAAAGTCTCCTGGCACTTGTAGATTTGAGTGCCCAGTAGGTCTCATCCCACATCTCTGACTGCTGCCTTTGCTTCCAGACATCTTTCTTCTGTTTGCACCATTGTGACAAGTCACAACCTGAGGGGTCTTGTCTCTGCCTCTGGGAGAAGGGGGAGGAAAAGGGGGGCTACATATCCAGTAGAATCCAGTGGTATGAGAGGTGATTATGGGTAAAGCATTGCTCCTGAAAGAGTAGGATGGCTCTTCTGGTTAGAGGTCCCTGCCAGCATGCACCACACTGCATGCAGGGCATATGCCTTCACCTCCCAATCACTGCAGTGGTGAGTGCTCACCAGGGATGGGGGAAGCCAATGCTCAGATAAACTTCAGAAAAGGCCCAGGTGAAATCAGCTGGAAATGCTGATATGCAACAAGAGGAACCTAATTCCTCCTGGAGTCAGAGGAGAGCTGGGGAGGAGAGTTGCTCTGCGTACCTTTCCTCTGTTTGGGAATAGCTGATGAGTGCCCAGTTTTACACAGATGGAGTCCCTGTGCACCAGCAAGTACAGGGATCTAGCTGGACCATATGTAGCATGTGGGAGAATAACATGGGTGATGCCAGATGCAGCACAGCTCTCCCACTCAGATGCTGGACATTCTCTAGTCTTTGCAGATGCTAATTAAAAGCATGGAGTCTCTTACGTAGTTAGTTACAGCCATGTAGGGCTGTGTGTTGCTTGTGATTCACTAGTGCTTGTAATTACTGCACAGAAATACTAACCAGTTAAACATCAAAATACTGTATTTTTTTTTTGCTGTTTATTCAAGAACAGTTTCACCCACAGAACAAAAAACTATGGCTGCATGAATACGTAATTATAAAGTCCTTCTGTTTGTCTATATATTACATTGGTTCTCTGGCTGATGAATATTGCAAATTAATTATCTAAGCAGAGTCTACAGGAGGTACAACTTCCAGGAAGCAGGTATAATCTTTCAGTGCTACCATTCTCAGGACTAAAGAAAGGTTTCCTCTATCAACTGCCAGGACATCAGCTCAATAATTTATATAGTGATATAATCTGTGCAGTCTCTTTCAATAGCTACTTTCACTCCAGCTAATTGTGTAAGAAACTCTCTACTCCACACTAGTGGATTACATGTATACAGGGGATGGATGCACTCTGTTTGTCCAGAGGTGCAGCCAATTTGCTGTGTCCATCCCTTTCCTCCCTGGCTAGTGAAATCCTGTCAGTGGCTTCAGTGGCAGCAGATAGCTCCTAACTCCTGTGAGGGCAGGTCCCAGAGACTACACAAAGTTCATGATTATCAATCAACTGGTTTTAATCTTTGTCCAAAACTCCAGCAGAATTTGGTTTTGTATGATACCTAATGGGCACTGTATGATAAATCAGTGCATCCTGCAAGCAGTTCTGTATCAAGGCAAGATCCAGCTCCATGACAGCAACAAGCATTCTCCCATCAGCCCTTCCTCCCCTGCATTCTGGTTTCCACAGGCTAAATACAGAAGCACCACCAGGTGCATGATTGTCAGAGGGAGTAGGACTGCAGCACCTCGGATTCTGTGTTCAGTTCTGGACTCCTCACTACAAGAGAGACACTGAGGTGCTGGAGCAAGTTCAAAGGACAACGAAGCTGGTGAAGGGTCTGGAGCACAAGTCTGATGAGGAGCAGCTGAGGGACCTGGAGTGGTTTAGTCTGCAGAAAAGAATGCTCAGGAGGGACCTTATTGCTCCCTATAACTACCTGAAAGGAGGATGGAGTGAAGTGTGTGTCAGTCTCTTTTCCGAAATTAGAAGTGACAGGACAAGAGGAAATGGCCTCATTGAAAGCATAGTAAGGCATTGGAACAGGCTTCCCAGGGACATGGTGGAATCACTGTCCCTGCAAGTGTTCAGAAACTGTAGATGAGGCCCCTAGTGGTTTATGGTGGACTTGGCAGTCTGGGGGTAATGACTGGACCCGATGGTCTTAAAAGCCTTTTCCAACCTAGCTGGTTCTATGATTCTATGATTCTGTGATTCTGTGACTACAGACATGGTGAGTATTGGTGCTCCCTCATTCATGACCAAATTTTGTCAATCAGAACCTGCCAAATGTGGTGGTGGGAAGGTACCTCTGAAGGTGCCTAGTCCCACTTCCTGCTCGAAGTGGGACGATCACCATTGCCAGACAAGGTCAGTGATGGCTTTATCCAGTTAACTCTTGAAAACCTCCAAGGATGGGATTACATAAGTTCTTGTGTAACTTGATTCAGTGCTCTACTACCTGCCTGGGGAAGATGGTTACCTTAATATCCAGTCTGAGCAACCCAAACTGCAGACGTAGGCATTAGCCCATTTTGCACCACCTATCACTACCATAAAGCGTTTAAGTTTGTTGAATTTATAAATTCTCTTCAAAGAATCTTGGCACCTCACTCAAACTCAACAATAAACTTAAAAGTAACCTGTTCCCTGATTCACCCAATCTGGTTTTAGTGGTGTTTTAGCGTTCCCTTTATGTTACCTGCTTGCCCCTTGAGGACTGCTCCAGCTGTTCTCTTCTCAGTATTTCAGTATTAAAGTGTGCCTTGTAGAATCAATGGCTGAAGGGTAATGAAAAGCAGAAGAGTAGGTTTCTCAGCTGGCATGGCACAAATGCTCTATAGGTCCGAACTCTGCCATCTTTACTCAAGGAGTAATAGATGCTTACGGAATGTCAGCCATCTGATCTTACCAGAGGCTGCTGAGAGAGGCAGAGGTTGTTCCTTGCTCTGTAAACGTGAGAAAGACTCAACCAGCTATGACTGCTTCCTTTAACTCTGGTTGGTGTAGGGAAGAGATGAACCCAGCTGGGAAACTCGCTGGGACTGTTTCTTCCATCCCACATGGGGCAGCCAAACTACAGGCAGAAAATCTTATCACTGGTCTCATCTCCCTCAAAAAAGCTGAGCAGAGTTCTGCTCTGTGTGAAAGCAGTGAGCCCTTGACATAGGTCAGCAGCTTTTTTCTTCCACAGCTGGGAAGGAGAAGCTTTGGCTTCTTTACCGGAATTTTTCCTTCGTCTCTTCTTAAGACAAGATAACACGGGCTTCCTTTAGAGCCAGAGCAACCTAAAAAGTACCAGTCTAAACCATAGTAAAATACTGCTCAGCTTAAGTGGGAGGATCTCATACTTAGGGCATCTGGTTTTCAACATTTGCCAGAATGCATATGGGGAGTATTTTCTCACAAATCATTATTGCACTGGGAAAGGCAAGTCAGCCTCCCACCCACATCCTGTCATTATTTATTTTTCCCAAACTCACACTGTTTTTGGGATGCACGTGTTTTGAGTCAATGTTGCACTCCCAGAGTGGCAAATGGTGTGATGGGAAGCAACAGAGAACACTGCAAAGCTCAGAAGGACCAATACACTAAAAAGCTTACATTAGATTAAAGCCTAGATTAGTCTAAAGATTTTATTAATATAGACTAAGTGTTTAAGAGCTTTATGTTCAAAATACATTTGAACCAGTGTTTTTGTTGAGTTAAAATAGGCATGTTTACATTTTTAGGATTATTATCATTTTCCTTTATGTTTTGTTTCCATATATGGGTGGTTGATTGGTTCATCCATTTACATAAGGCACACTTCCCTTCCCCACAGGTTCTTTAAGACCATTTTAACCCCTGTGATTCCACAGGCAGCAGAAGAACAAAGGGCTGTTAAAGCTCCTGTCACCTAAATTCTGTGGTTTACTCTGTAGGCATCTTTTTTAATGGGTTACACTTCCAGGGCTGCCCAACTGAAGGGCATTCTGATCTCGTTCTCTGCTGAGCCCTGTTTTGGACAAGATTGTACACTTCTTTTCCACATATATAAATAACTTTTTTTATTGAAATGTCCAGATCATTGAACTCTGCTTGTTCCCAGAGAGGTCATTTCTCTTGTGATACTTGTTTAGGACAGAAATTGGAGCACTGTCTGTACTTGAGGTACTGACTTACTGCTCCCTTCTCCTCCCAGAACATCAGCCACCATTTCCTCCCCTGTGAGAAACCACCCATTACTACAATATGAAGGCAAAATCAAGTTGTATAGGAATGTACTGCTACCTGATAAATAGCCTAGATTGCCTTCATTAACCCTAAACTGGAGTTATGAAGTGACACTCTGGCTCGAAAATTCTTTCTTCCTCATAAGCCTCTGAAGCAGATATATGTATTCAGCTGTGTTTCAGCCATTTATTACTTTAATGTAGTCTATTTATGCCAAGGCTGGATACCAAAATAGTGTAAAATACCCCAGTGTAGACAAAGCTGGAGCCAACTCTGCCTCAGGTAC